GTCCTGTCCTGTCCTGTTCCATCCTGTCCTGTCCCGTCCTGTCCTGTCCCATCCTGTCCTGTCCTGTCCTGTCCCATCCTGTCCTGTCCTGTCCATCCTGTCCTGTCCCATCCTGTCCCATCCTGTCCCGTCCTGTCCTGTCCCGTCCCGTCCTGTCCCATCCTGTCCTGTCCCGTCCTGTCCCATCCTGTCCTGTCCTGTCCCATCCTCTCCCGTCCTGTCATGTCCTGTCCTGTCCCGTCCTATCCTGTCCTGTCCTGTCCTGTCCAGTCCTGTCCTGTCCTGTCCTGTCCCATCCTGTCCTGTCCTGTCCTGTCCTGTCCCGTCCTGTCCTGTCCTGTCCTCTCCCATCCTGTCCTTCCTGGCCTGTCCTATCCTGTCCTGTCCTGTCCTGTCCTGTCCCACCCTTTCCTGTCCTGTCCTGTCCCATCCTGTCCTGTCCTGTCCTAGCCTGTCCTGTCCTGTCCTGTCCTGTCCCGTCCTGTCCTGTCCTGTCCTCTCCCATCCTGTCCTGTCCTGTCCTGTCCTGTCCTGTCCTGTCCTATCCTGTCCTGTCCTGTCCTGTCCTGTCCTGTCCCATCCTTTCCTGTCCTGTCCTGTCCTGACCTGTCCCATCCTGTCCTGTCCTGTCCTGTCCTCTCCACCCTGTCCTGTCCCATCCTGTCCTGTCCTGGCCTGTCCTATCCTGTCCTGTCCTGTCCTGTCCTGTCCCACCCTTTCCTGTCCTGTCCTGTCCTGTCCCATCCTGTCCTGTCCTGTCCTAGCCTGTCCTGTCCTGTCCTGGCCTGTCCTATCCTGTCCTGTCCTGTCCTGTCCTGTCCCACCCTTCCTGTCCTGTCCTGTCCTGTCCTGTCCTTCCTGTCCTGTCCTGTCCTAGCCTGTCCTGTCCTGTCCTGTCCTGTCCTGACCTGTCCCATCCTGTCCTGTCCTGTCCTGTCCTCTCCCACCCTGTCCTGTCCTGTCCTGTCCTGTCCTATCCTGTCCTGTCCTGTCCTGTCCTGTCCTGTCCCATCCTGTCCTGTCCTGTCCTGTCCTGTCCTGTCCTGTCCCGTCCTGTCCTGTCCTGTCCTGTCCCATCCTGTCCTGTCCTGTCCCATCCTCTCCCGTCCTGTCATGTCCTGTCCTGTCCCGTCCTATCCTGTCCTGTCCTGTCCTGTCCTGTCCCGTCCTGTCCTGTCCTGTCCTGTCCCATCCTGTCCTGTCCTGTCCTGTCCTGTCCCGTCCTGTCCTGTCCTGTCCTCCCCATCCTGTCCTGTCCTGTCCTGGCCTGTCCTATCCTGTCCTGTCCTGTCTTGTCCTGTCCCACCCTTTCCTGTCCTGTCCTGTCCTGTCCTGTCTCCCATCCTGTCCTGTCCTGTCCTATCCTGTCCTGTCCTGTCCTGTCCTGTCCCGTCCTGTCCTGTCCTGTCCTCTCCCATCCTGTCCTGCCCTGTCCTGTCCTGGCCTTTCCTGTCCTGTCCTGTCCTGTCCCATCCTTTCCTGTCCTGTCCTGTCCTGTCCTGTCCCATCCTGTCCTGTCCTGTCCTCTCCCACCCTGTCCTGTCCTGTCCTGTCCTGTCCTATCCTGTCCTGTCCTGTCCTGTCCTGTCCCATCCTGTCCTGTCCTGTCCTGTCCTGTCCTGTCCTGTCCCGTCCTGTCCTGTCCTGTCCCAACCTGTCCTGTCCTGTCCCGTCCTGTCCTGTCCTGTCCTGTCCCATCCTGTCCTGTCCTGTCCCATCCTGTCCTGTCCTGTCCTGTCCTGTCCTGTCCTGTCCCATCCTGTCCCGTCCTGTCCTGTCCCGTCCCGTGGGGGCAGCAGTGAACATGGAGTGTGGGAGACAGAGTAGAAGGATCTGATGAAGACGGTGGGAACAGACTGAGCTCAGAAGGAAACGGGCTCTGAGCCAAATGACTTCATCACAGCCACTGTTTTACCGTCACAGACTAATAATAATAATAATAATAATAATAAACTACTACTGTAGCCACAGCTGCCCTGGGGCACACTGACAGAAGCGAGGCCACCAGTCTGTGCCATCGGCCCCTCCCACCACCACCAACCATTCACTCACACACCAGACTCATTCTAATGTGGGGGAAGTGTCTTGCCCAAGGACACAACGACAGCAGACGTCAGGCTCAAAGACCATCTGAGCCTCTGTACAGGACACTACAGTAGAACGAGGTCCTTCTGCGCCTGAAATAACTCCACAAACTCCCAAAGCTCGAGGAGGAAGTCAAGGGTTTGAGTTCTGCTGCGAATGAGGTCAAACACACTGTGAAAAATGATCATAAATGCTTAATCCAGTGTTTTTAACTTAATCTGAGCACGTTCTGTCTTCAAACTATTCTGCAACGGACCAAAGTCATTTAGTCTTATTTAAAAAGCTGTTGCTTTATCTCCTCATTCCAAAAGAGTTATTGTGTCCTTGGGCAAGACACCTCTGCATGCAAAAGCCAGATCCTGTCAGACCTCTGAAGCTAAGCAGGGCAGGGCTTGGTTAATCCTGTGATGGGAGACCTGTGGGAACAGCAGGTGCCACAGTGGGGCGGCTGCGGCTGTAAAGTGCCAAACTGTGGTTGTGTCCTTAGGCAAGACACTTCCCCCACATTAGAATGAGTCTGGTGTGTGTGTGAATGGTTGGTGGTGGTGGGAGGGGTGTTGCCTCGCTTCAGTCAGTGTGCCCCAGGGCAGCTGTGGCTAGTGTAGTAGTTTGAATGAATATTGACAAAGCACTGTATAAAACCAATACATTATTATTATTATGTCCATATTGCTTAAATAAATAAATACAAATGTGTGTGTGTGAAGAATGACAAAACAACACTTCTTTAATGAAATCTAATCTTAAAACCTGTCACTATTTTCCTGTTCTTCAGTGTAACGTGGGTGTTTTCAGTCAGCACTATTTGGTCTCTTTGGTCTCTCGCTCAGACGGCCTCAAGTTGCGTTTTGTAATTTGTTACAATCACCGGCATCGCCTCGGTCTTGTACAGAGCCTGAACTGGAGGCGGTGTGTGTTTGTGTGCGATGGCGTCCTCTGTGTGCGTCTAATCTCTCCTCGTCAGCACGTTTGTTCTCCTCCGTGGGCCATGGTTGAAATCCCAACACAACGGTGGAAAAACCAGTCTGCATTTAGTGTGTGTGGGATTTAATTTAGCTGCACGTGAGGAAGAAACACACTATTATAGGAAAATGTACACATGTGGCCAAACGTGGTACTGCAGCCTCTCCCACTCTCCCTGACTCAGGTTGCCAGATATGCAGACGAATCCAGCTGGGACCATAACAGCTGAATAGACAAGAGTTTAGTCAACAACAAATCTATAACCAACACCTTTTTTACAAAGATAGAAATCCTGGTTTTATTCCTTGTTTTGTCATTAATGATTTGAGAATCATAACGAGACCTTTTTTAGTTCTGCGCCACATGGTACTTTACCAGTGAGATTAGCTCCACACGGTGAGTTCTGGCGCCCGGATCACAGACTTTCTGATTGGTGAAACGGTGGAGGGCGGGACATCGAAATGAAAACAATAACAAGATTTAGAGGCTGGAAAAGTAATTTAGAAATTCAAATATCTCTGAACTACTGTTATCAGTTAAAGAAGTATTGGAAAAGAGCAGTTTATTATTATGACAGATTAGGGCCCTTTAGTGATGACAGATTAGGGCCCTTTAATGATGACAGATTAGGGCCCTTTAATGATGACAGATTAGGGCCCTTTAATGATGACAGATTAGGGCCCTTTAATGATGACAGATTAGGGCCCTTTAATGATGACAAATTAGGGCCCTTTAATGAAGACAGATTAGGGCCCTTTAATGATGACAAATTAGGGCCCTTTAATGATGACAGATTAGGGCCCTTTAATGATGACAGATTAAGATAAGATAAAAATTCCTTTATTTTGATGTTGCATCGCACAGACAGGACAGTAGTAAGAGCACACAGGGAGCACACAATATATACACTATATACAAACAAGTAGTAGCTATGTTTCTTAGCTAACATAACTAACTGTAGATGCTGAAAATGCTTCAATACCAGTCAAAAGAAAATATATGTAGTAGTGCAGTTATATACTGTACAGTTAAATAGTGCAGGATAAAAAGTATATAAGTAAAGTGACATGAGGTAAAGTGACATTGTTCTGTGACATCCTGAAGTTGCAGTATTGCACATTGCACATGATTTAAGAATTTACTTAATTACAGATGAATGAAATTTACAGGCTCAGCAGGGCCCTTTAATAATGAATCTTACATATTACTACTTTAAAACAATCTTTAAAACTCACTGCTCAGACTTTTTTCTTTAATATTAGTGTTATTATTTTAAAACTAGTAAAATAATCTTACGACAAACTATATTTAAGCAACAAGCAAAACAAAAAATGCCAAAATGTACATAAGAAGTCAGGTCACATGTTTTCAAAGATTGCAAATAAATTTTACAAAAAGAAAAAAAACCTTAAATTTTATCTATTCCGAATTTTAGTGCAACATTTTTATCTTAAGATTATAGTTTTTTCAGTGTATTTTCTCTCTATACTCAGTCCTTAAAACAAAAATCCAGGTTTATTGACAAAATAAGCAAGATTTAAGTTATTTTTAGTAGTACTTCTGCCAATATATACTTTAGATCTCAGGTCACATGTTTTCAAAGATTGTATTCACATTTTACAACTGAAATGTGTCCATTCAGAAAAAATTATCTTAAGATGATAGTTTTTTCAGTGTATCTTCTCTCTACACTCCAAAAAAAAACAAATTTATTGACAAACCACAGAGGAAGCCGTGTTGTGTGTTTTTACCACGACCACACAACCTCCGTGTAGTTTTTTGTAATCTGGAGCAGTGTATGTGCGTCCCCCGCCTGCTGCTGGGAGCCTTGTTATTGTTAACTCCCATCCTGTGAGCGGCACTTCCTAACAGCCACGGCCTCATCATGTCTCTGTGGGTCACGATCACATGTTCTCAGACACTCATTCTGTGTCTTCCTGTTTCTGTTGTAGATCCACCGCGACACAGACGCGACCCGTGAGCCCTGCCACGCTCTGCCTTCAGGTAAGACCGAGGCCACTGCTGCTTTAACTTCTTTAAAATGACTTTACACAATCTATATTTTGACTTTATGACTTTATTAGGATGTTGGTGGTTGACACGGAACGGATTTTTTACTGCGGGAATTTTTTGATTTTCAGTTTTGGTCCATGCTATCTTTGTGTTGAGTTTATATGTAGATGTTGTTCCTTCCCTTTTCAAGTTTCAAAAGCAAAGCAGTCCCAGTTTACACACTCTGGGGCTGCGCTGAACTGTCTCCTGGGACTGGGACTAATTTATCATACCATCGTTTACATGTGCAAGGCCTCTGTAACATGTGAAAGGCTTCTCTAACATGTGAAAGGCCTCTCTGTAACATGTGAAAGGCCTCTCTAACATGTGAAAGGCTTCTCTAACATGTGAAAGGCTTCTCTAACATGTGAAAGGCCTCTCTAACATGTGAAAGGCCTCTATAACATGTGAAAGGCCTCCATAACATGTGAAAGGCCTCCATAACATGTGAAAGGCCTCCATAACATGTGAAAGGCCTCTCTAACATGTGAAAGGCCTCTATACCATGTGAAAGGCTTCTCTAACATGTGAAAGGCTTCTCTAACATGTGAAAGGCCTCTCTAACATGTGAAAGGCCTCTATAACATGTGAAAGGCCTCCATAACATGTGAAAGGCCTCCATAACATGTGAAAGGCCTCTATAACATGTGAAAGGCTTCTCTAATGTGTAAAAGGCTTCTATAACATGTGAAAGGCCTCTCTAACATGTGAAAGGCCTCCATAACATGTGAAAGGCCTCTCTAACATGTGAAAGGCTTCTCTAATGTGTAAAAGGCTTCTATAACATGTAAAAGGCATCTATGACATGTTAAAGGCCTCCATAACATGTGAAAGGCCTCTATAACATGTGAAAGGCCTCCATAACATGTGAAAGGCTTCTCTAACATGTGAAAGGCCTCCATAACATGTGAAAGGCCTCTATAACATGTGAAAGGCCTCCATAACATGTGAAAGGCCTCCATAACATGTGAAAGGCCTCTATAACATGTGAAAGGCTTCTCTAATGTGTAAAAGGCCTTTCTAACATGTGAAAGGCCTCTATAACATGTGAAAGGCTTCTCTAATGTGTAAAAGGCTTCTATAACATGTGAAAGGCCTCTATAACATGTGAAAGGCCTCCATAACATGTGAAAGGCCTCTCTAACATGTGAAAGGCCTCTATAACATGTGAAAGGCTTCTCTAATGTGTAAAAGGCTTCTATAACATGTGAAAGGCCTCTATAACATGTGAAAGGCCTCCATAACATGTGAAAGGCCTCTATAACATGTGAAAGGCTTCTCTAATGTGTAAAAGGCTTCTATAACATGTGAAAGGCCTCTATAACATGTGAAAGGCCTCCATAACATGTGAAAGGCCTCCATAACATGTGAAAGGCCTCTATAACATGTGAAAGGCTTCTCTAATGTGTAAAAGGCCTTTCTAACATGTGAAAGGCCTCTATAACATGTGAAAGGCTTCTCTAATGTGTAAAAGGCTTCTATAACATGTGAAAGGCTTCTCTAACATGTGAAAGGCCTCCATAACATGTGAAAGGCCTCTATAACATGTGAAAGGCCTCCATAACATGTGCAAGGCCTCCATAACATGTGAAAGGCCTCTATAACATGTGAAAGGCTTCTCTAATGTGTAAAAGGCCTTTCTAACATGTGAAAGGCCTCTATAACATGTGAAAGGCTTCTCTAATGTGTAAAAGGCTTCTATAACATGTGAAAGGCCTCTATAACATGTGAAAGGCCTCCATAACATGTGAAAGGCCTCTCTAACATGTGAAAGGCCTCTATAACATGTGAAAGGCTTCTCTAATGTGTAAAAGGCTTCTATAACATGTGAAAGGCCTCTATAACATGTGAAAGGCCTCCATAACATGTGAAAGGCCTCTATAACATGTGAAAGGCTTCTCTAATGTGTAAAAGGCTTCTATAACATGTGAAAGGCCTCTATAACATGTGAAAGGCCTCTATAACATGTGAAAGGCCTCCATAACATGTGAAAGGCCTCTCTAACATGTGAAAGGCCTCTCTAACATGTGAAAGGCTTCTCAATCAATCAACGTTTATTTATAGAGCGCCTTTCCTACACAAGGCAACGCAAAGCGCCTCACAACCCATACAACATCATGCATAAATCATCAAACATTAGAATACAAGTAAACATAAAAAGACAGACCAAGAGCACAAGATATACAAAATCACACAAGTAGTTAAAAACCGTAAAAAATTAAAATCACACAAGGGATTACAATCATAAATAATCATAAATAATCATAGCGCATTAAAAAGATTAAAGATAAAAACAAATGTAAAATCATTCACTTGTATGCACAGCTAAAAAGAACTGTTTTCAGTTCAGTTTTAAAAACTGCTAGAGTAGACGCCTGTCTCACACTCTCGGGAAGACGGTTCCAGACTCTAGCTGCATGAATCTGAAACGCAGCCTCCCCATGTCTAGTTCCGACTCTTGGCACTAACAGAAGTCCAGTCCCTGTGCTCCTCAGAGCCCGAGTTGGTTCATATGGCACCAACATGTCGCGGATGTACCCTGGTGCGAGGCCATGGAGAGACTTGTACACAAGTAAAGCTACTTTAAAATCTATTCTCTGAGCCACAGGAAGCCAGTGCAGAGACCTGAGGACCGGACTAATGTGGGTCGTACTTCCTGGTTCTAGTCAGGACTCGAGCTGCAGCATTTTGGATGTACTGCAGCTGTTTTACCGCTTGTTTAGAGAGACCTGTGAACAAGCCATTGCAGTAGTCCAATCGACTGGAGACAAATGCGTGGATAAGAATCTCCAAGTCTGCTTTAGACACAATGTTTTTAATTTTAGCAATGTTTCTTAGGTGGAAGTAAGCTGATGATGTCACAGATGATATGTGGCTATTGAAATTCAAGTCTGAGTCCATTATTACTCCTAGATTTCTGACCTGAGTTGAGGGTTTCAGGGAGAGAGACTGGAGGTGGCAGATAACGCTCTCTCTTTGTTTCTGAGGTCCGAAAACAATAATTTCAGTTTTTTCTGTGTTTAGCTGGAGAAAGTTATTTTGCATCCAATCACTGATCTGTTGGATACAGTGAAGGAGCGAGTCCACTGGTCCATGTTCTCCTGCTGTCAGGGACACATAGACCTGAGTATCGTCAGCGTAATTGTGATAGGACACGTTATTACTGTGTATTAACCTACCCAGAGGCAGCATGTAAATATTAAACAGGAGAGGCCCCAGGATTGAGCCCTGTGGCACTCCGCAGGTCAGGGCCAGATGGTCTGAGACACAGTTTCCGATCTCCACAAAATACTTTCTGTCCTGTAGGTAGGATATAAACCAGCTTAGGGCTGTTCCAGAAACACCAACCCAGTCCTCAAGTCTCTGAATGAGGATACCATGATCGACAGTGTCGAAAGCAGCACTCAAATCTAACAGGATAAGAACTGAGACTTTTCCTGCGTCAGTGTTAAGTCTGATGTAATTTGTTACCTTCACTAGAGCGGTCTCTGTGCTGTGGTGGGGTCTAAAACCAGACTGGAACATATCAAAAGAGTGATTGATTATTAAAAATTCTGTAAGTTGTTGATAGACAACTTTTTCTAGAATTTTACCCATGAAAGGCAGATTTGAAATGGGCCGATAACTTTTAAGTGCCAAGGCATCCAGACTCCTCTTTTTTAGGAGGGGTCTGATGACTGCCGTTTTCAGGGCCATTGGGAATGTTCCAGATTCAAGAGACATATTTACTATATGCGTGAGTGAAGGTAAAAGACTGCTCAGAACAGATTTAAGAAATCTGGGAGGTAATACATCCAGGCTACATGTAGAAGAACTCAGACTTGTAATTATCATTTGGACAGTTTCATTTTGTACTGGTGTAAAGTGTGTCAGCCCAAAAAGCTTCACTGGCTGTTGGATTGTAATTTCTACTGTGGAGGTGATGGCATTTTTGATGCCTTGGACTTTGTCATTAAAAAACTCTGCAAACTCATTACATTTGGTTTTGGAGGTAAGCTCTGATGGCATCTTAACAGGGGGATTTGTCAATTTATTTACCGTTGAGAACAGAACGCGTAGATTGCCACTACAACCTTCGATTGTTTCGGAAAAATAAGTTTCCCTCGTTCTACGTAGCACACTGTTGAACTTGCACAATGCATCTTTGAAGATCTCATGGTCAACTTGGAGATTTGACTTTCGCCACTTCCGCTCGGCTCTCCGGCACTCTCTCTTCTGTGCCCTGACAGAGTCTGCTTTTGTCCATGGCGCCTTTTGCTTATTTGTAACAATTTTGACCTTTACAGGACATACATTACAGGACACATTCTCTAATGTGTAAAAGGCTTCTATAACATGTGAAAGGCCTCTATAACATGTGAAAGGCCTCTATAACATGTGAAAGGCCTCCATAACATGTGAAAGGCCTCTCTAACATGTGAAAGGCCTCTCTAACATGTGCAAGGTCTCTGTAACATGTGAAAGGCCTCTCTAACATGTGAAAGGCCTCTCTAACATGTAAAAGGCCTCTCTAACATGTGCAAGGTCTCTGTAACATGTGAAAGGCCTCTCTAACATGTGAAAGGCCTCTCTAACATGTGAAAGGCTTCTCTAACATGTGAAAGGCCTCTTTAACATGTGCAAGGTCTCTCTAACATGTGAAAGGCTTCTCTAACATGTGAAAGGCTTCTCTAACATGTGAAAGGCTTCTCTAACATGTGAAAGGCCTCTATAACATGTGAAAGGCCTTTCTAACATGTGAAAGGCTTCTCTAACATGTGAAAGGCCTCTCTAACATGTGAAAGGCTTCTCTAACATGTGAAAGGCCTCTATAACATATGAAAGGACTCTATAACATGTGAAAGGCTTCTGTAACATAAGAGAGCCACTTCAGTTCCTCAGACTAGTCCAGGGCCTGACTTCACAGACTGAAAAACTGTCTTCACTGATATTGGGCTGTTCTGAGCTTTATA